AATCCTTCTACCCCCCCTTTACTATCACTGTCTTTTGTCTAAACTAACACATGACTTATTTCACCTGCTAGCACTGACTTGTTTAAAGAAATGTACTTATTGTGATCGAGATGTAGTTGTCCCTGATTGCACTGACTTTGCTCACAGCTGCTTGTTTGAAGAAGTGTACTTACTGTGATCAAGATGTGGTTGTCCCACTGGCTATCCTAAGATGAATGCACCAATTTGTAAGTCGCTCTGGATAAGAGCATCTGCTAAATGACTTAAATGTAAATGGAATTGTTTGAGGAGAGTGCACAACAACAAAAAACGTATCACGGCAACTGGTTTGATACATTCACCTCTGAAGGTAAATAATGTACTTACATTCAGTAATCTTGCTCTGATTTGTCATCCTAAGAGAAAAAATGTAGCATAGTTATGTTTGATAAAATCCATTTTAATATTCAAATGTAGGAACTGGGTTCTACAGTTTGAACCCCTGCTGTCTCTGGCTCCACACCCACCCCGCCCGGCCATCTAGATGTGTGAAAGTTAGTGTATAAGCTAATGATCCATCATGTATGACATTCCTGGGAGTGTGTAAACTTACATTTTGTATTACCATTTCATTGTTATGTACTTGAAAATGTATCAATTGACCAATTCGGCACATTTGGCTTGATACAAAATAGTCCAGTATTGCAATGCTTCACTGGATCAATCTGAAACTTTACACACACACTGCATAATCGAAATTGCGCCTAAACTACAATATTATATTGTGGCCTTTCTCTTGCATTCAAACATGATTTAAAAAATCTTAATTGTTTGTATTATCTTTTACCAGATCTAATGTGTTATATTCTCCTACATTAATTTCACATTTCCACAAACTTCAAAGTGTTTCCTTTCAAATGGTATCAAGAATATGCATAACCTTGCTTCAGGTCCTGAGCTACAGGCAGTTAGATTTGGGTATGTCATTTTAGGCGAAAATTGAAAAAAAGGGTCAGATCCTTAAGAGGTTAATGGTCTGTGAACAGGTTTCTTGGGAATGTTCCCCTGTGAGTGTGAATGGCCATGAGCAGGACTTAAAAGAGGATATTGAAATTGCAAAATTGATTTTGGGACGCAACATTTAGCATACCTCCATTTACTGACAAGAGGAAGAAATGGGTGTAGAGAAAACTAGCTACAGGATACATGTCCAGTAGGTAAAAAGGGAAAATGAATCTAACCAATATCCTTTGAAAAGATTCCTGGGCATTTCAGGTACATGTACTTTATATTACTTATTTCCTCTACGCTTCTTGGGTTGAAACATGGTGCACAGCTCATACCATGAGCACATAGAGACACCAGTGGACTATGGTACATTGCTGAAACCATCACAGCTGTATAAAATAACAGAATAGAAAATGTACATGTACAGCTAAGCGCTTAAAGAAATTGCTTGTACTTTTCCAGATTGGTCACCAGGGAAATCATTATCAAATGAATGCTATAAATAGAGGTGAGGTTGGATGAGATTATTCAGCAGTCCTCAAGAGAAAATATGAAATTAAATAAACCTCTCAGGCTCAACGAGGCAAAAAATAAATGCTCCCATTCTGCCAATTACTAACAGAAGCTGTATGGTGAACCTTATACAACCAAAAAATTCATTAAAGCTAGTCAGTCAGGACTAATTCAAAACAAATAAATTCTAGATTGTTTTATATGCCCGCAGGTATACACTGAGTGCACAAAACATTAGGAAGACCTTCCCTCAGAACAGCCTCAATTCATCAGGGCATGGACTGTACAAGGTGTCGAAAGCATTCCAAAGGGATGCTGGCCTTGACTCCAATGCTTCCCATAGTTGTGTCAAGTTGGCTGGGTGGTGGACCATTCTTGATACACACGGGAAACTGTTGAGCGTGAAAAACCCAGCAGCGTTGCAGTTCTTGACAGAAACCAGTGCGCCTGGCACCTACTACCATACCCCGTTCAAAGGCACTCAAATATTTTGTCTTGCCCATTCACCGTCTGAATTGCACACAATCCATGTCTCAAGGCATACAAATCCTTCTTTAACCTGTCTCCTCCCCTTCATCTATACTCATTGAAGTGGATTTAACAAGTGACATTAATAAGGGATCATAGCTTTCACCTGGATTCACCTGGTCAGTCTGTCATGGAAAGAGCATGTTTTGTACACTCAGTGTATGTAGATGCATTGTTCGCTGATGAGCAATAGTCATATCATAAATAATCAAAAAGGACAAGTAACATGCATGTATAGAATAACAATAAGTGCTTATTTATTGAATTCTAAAAATACATTTCTTAAGAAAGGGGTATTCCACATAAAAAAAACAATTCAACAATTTCCCATATTTTCTCACTAACATTATTTTGTATCAAAGTGTTTATTTGTTTTCTCCTAACCAACTGGAAGATAACCCCTGATAGTGTTTCTTTACGAAAATTAGAAAAGCACATAGGAGGCCATAGGGCCAAAATAACCAGCCATCTAAAGAGAGGATTTGTAAACAATATTTTTTCAGAGAGAGTATTACTTTAAACTGGACTGCGATGACAGATCAATGTCCATCGACAGACGCTGCTCTATACAGAGTGTAATGCGTTAAAATTACAAAAGGAACAAAAATAAGAGCTTAAGAATAACATTAACTTACACATTAACTCTAAAATATAACATTACTTGGAACAAAAAATGAATTCAACCTACAGTATCTTAGTGTCTGAGTGGCCTGCAGCTAAAATAGTACTAGAAGATATTTAAGACTGAGATGTAAGAAAGCTCGCCAACAAGCAAAGAAACACCGATATCCCACACCTCGACCTCACCCACACATGCCCAAACACTCACACATACAGTGGGGGAAAAAAAGTATTTAGTCAGCCACCAATTGTGCAAGTTCTCCCACTTAAAAAGATGAGAGAGGCCTGTAATTTTCATCATAGGTACACGTCAACTATGACAGACAAAATGAGGAAAAAAAATCCAGAAAATCACATTGTAGGATTTTTAATGAATTTATTTGCAAATTATGGTGGAAAATAAGTATTTGGTCAATAACAAAAGTTTCTCAATACTTTGTTATATACCCTTTGTTGGAATTGACACAGGTCAAACGTTTTCTGTAAGTCTTCACAAGGTTTTCACACACTGTTGCTGGTATTTTGGCCCATTCCTCCATGCAGATCTCCTCTAGAGCAGTGATGTTTTGGGGCTGTCGCTGGGCAACACAGACTTTCAACTCCCTCCAAAGATTTTCTATGGGGTTGAGATCTGGAGACTGGCTAGGCCACTCCAGGACCTTGAAATGCTTCTTACGAAGCCACTCCTTTGTTGCCCGGGCGGTGTATTAGTGATCATTGTCATGCTGAAAGACCCAGCCACGTTTAATCTTCAATGCCCTTGCTGATGGAAGGAGGTTTTCACTCAAAATCTCACGATACATGGCCCCATTCATTCTTTCCTTTACACGGATCAGTCGTCCTGGTCCCTTTGCAGAAAAACAGCCCCAAAGCATGATGTTTCCACCCCCATGCATCACAGTAGGTATGGTGTTCTTTGGATGCAACTCAGCATTCTTTGTCCTCCAAACACGACGAGTTCAGTTTTTACCAAAAAGTTATATTTTGGTTTCATCTGACATTCTCCCAATCCTCTTCTGGATCATCCAAATGCACTCTAGCAAACTTCAGACGGGCCTGGACATGTACTGGCTTAAGCAGGGGGACACGTCTGGCACTGCAGGATTTGAGTCCCTGGCAGCGTAGTGTGTTACTGATGGTAGGCTTTGTTACTTTGGTCCCAGCTCTCTGCAGGTCATTCACTAGGTCCCCCCGTGTGGTTCTGGGATTTTTGCTCACCGTTCTTGTGATCATTTTGACCCCACGGGGTGAGATCTTGCGTGGAGCCCCAGATCGAGGGAGATTATCAGTGGTCTTGTATGTCTTCCATTTCCTAATAATTGCTCCCACTGTTGATTTCTTCAAACCAAGCTGCTTACCTATTGCAGATTCAGTCTTCCCAGCCTGGTGCAGGTCTACAATTTTGTTTCTGGTGTCCTTTGACAGCTCTTTGGTCTTGGCCATAGTGGAGTTTGGAGTGTGACTGTTTGAGGTTGTGGACAGGTGTCTTTTATACTGATAACAAGTTCAAACAGGTGCCATTAATACAGGTAACAAGTGGAGGACAGAGGAGCCTCTTAAAGAAGAAGTTACAGGTCTGTGAGAGCCAGAAATCTTGCTTGTTTGTAGGTGACCAAATACTTATTTTCCACTATAATTTGCAAATAAATTCATAAAAAATTCTACAATGTGATTTTCTGGATTTCTTTTTCTAAATTTGTCTGTCATAGTTGACGTGTACCTATGATGAAAATTACAGGCCTCTCTCATCTTTTTAAGTGGGAGAACTTGCACAATTGGTGGCTGACTAAATACTTTTTTCCCCCACTGTACAGGTACGCAAATAACAACAACTTAGCCAGCCTTGGAAAACCTTTTCTAAAGAATCTGATACATTTGCTCAGTTAGTACTATACACTTGAGCTAACTTGATTGTACTATTTTAAACATGACGCTGAAGACATGAACCGGAAATGCTGTGAATTGAACATCCTATATTATAATGTGTTAGAAAGCTTATTCTTAGGAGAATGAACGCACAGTGCAATCAAACCCACATTGCAGTATTTACACAATCCTATGCAAACATACCTTTTCTTACTTTCTCTAAATTCACAGAATGGTTTGGACACTGTGGAGAAATTTGCATCCTTAACTCCTCCCACAGGGCTCAGCATTAGCTTACAAGTGCTCGCCAATGGCTTATTCATCAAAAGTATTGCAAGTAAATAAAATAATCTCAAAACCTAGTTACAAATACAAGCACAACGTTATTGTTCTAAAATAAACAAGTAATAACCGTTAATATTAATATAAAAGCATAAAACAAGACATATCATGAGATAACACCAAGAGAACAGAGGGACACTTGACTACCGCCTCCTTCCACGTCCTCGTCCCCTCCCTCTCCCCCTTTTGGGGGTTGTTGTGACCTTAGTTGAAGCCTTCTCCGTTTCCTCGGTCTCATCCACTGTTATCTGTTCTCCCTCCCCTGAATCCAGCTCCTCCTCCACTTTAACCAGAATGGCGTCTCCTCGAAGTGGGACGTCCTCCTCCCCTTCCACTTTGTCCTCCTCTACAACTCTCTCCTCGGTCTCTGGTTGTTTTTCCATTTGGATCACCTCCTCCTCTCCCTCCTGGACACCTATGCTGGTAGAACCAGTAGCATTGCTGGTATTGTTGCTCTGTTGTTGCTCTATGGCCTCCTCTAGTCGGAGGCGGTACTGCTCAGCCTCCTGCTCCTTCTGTAGGAGCTGTGTGCGGTACTCCTGGGCCTTCCGGTTGGCCTCCTGCAGCTGCTTCTGGAGCTGCTCCCGACTGCTGTCCCCTGACTTCGCTTTCTGAGAACAATGGACACATACAGTAACAAGAGAGAAAATATTTCAGAATATTATGCCAAGCAACAAATATGGCGACCTTTGCTGACCTTGTCTTTGGGTCTGGTTAGGATGGCTGCAGCCTCTATTCTCCTCTTGCGTGCCGGAGAGGGATAAGGCTCCTGTTCCACCACCTCCTCTGTGATCTGACCAGCAGGGACTGCCACCACTACAGAAACAAAACACAACAAACTGATGAATGCATTCATTGTAATGTCTTGAAAAAGGCTGACATGAGCACAATGTCAAGTAAATAAACATACACACAGTGGCCAGTTTATTAGGTACACCCTTCTAGTACCGGGTCTGACACCCCTTTGCCTCCAGAACAGTGAATTCTTCAGGGCATGGATTCTACAAGGTGTGGCGTTCAAATATTGCTCAATTGGTATCAAGGGACCTAACGTGTGCCAGGAAAACATTCCCCACACCATTACACCACCGCCATCAGCCTGTACCGTTGACACCAGGCAGGATGAGGCTCATGGACTCATGCTGCTTATGCTAAATCCTGACTCTGCCATCAGCATGACGCAACAGGAAACGGGATTGGTCGGACCATGCAATGTTTTTTCACTCCTCAATTGTCCAGTTTTGGTAATCGCGTGCCCACTGGAGCCACTTCTTCTTGTTTTTAGCTGATAGGAGTGGAACCCGGTGTGGTCGTCTGCTGCAATAGCCCATCCATGACAAGGATCGATGAGTTGTGCGTTCCGAGATGCCGTTCTGCACACCACTGTTGTACTGCACCGTTTGTGGCCCACCTGTTAGCTTGCACGATTCTTGCCATTCTCCTTCGACCTCTCTCATCAATGAGTTTTTGCCCACAGGACTGCCGCTGACTGGATGTTTTTTGTTTGTCGCACTATTCTCTGTAAACCCTAGACACTGTCACGTGTGAAAAGTCCAGGAAGCCCGCCATTTCTGAGATACTGGAACCGGTGAGCCTGACACCGACGATCATACCACGCTCAAAGTAGCATAGGTCACTCATTATGCCCATTCAGTCAACAGTCAATCGAACAGTAACTGAATGTCTCGATGCCTGTCTGCCTGCTTTTTATAGCAAGCCACGGCCACACTGTCTGTAGGAACGAACCATTTTCGTGAACGGGGTGGCGTGCCTAATAAACTGGCCACTGAGTGTATAAATGGCTATATATGGCTGTGGTTTCCTACTTACTTTGCTGCCCCTGCATAGTGACAAAGAACTGCTGCCCAAGGCCCGCTGGCTGCAGGTTGCCGTGTTGGTCCGTCACTATGGTGATGACCCTCTGACCTCCATCGCCCACTACATGCTGAATGGCAGAGTCCACAGAATCTGCAGCGATCGCATCCTCAGATTTGCCTGTGGGAAAGATAGACTGCAATGGTAAGTAACTCTAAGAACTGTCATACAGATCTGAGTTTGCCCTAACGCACAGAGGTATCATCATTTTATAGAATATGATGAAAGTACTATTAATTGTAACATGAGTAGCTCATCAGAGTAATGTGTAGTGTTATCCTCATGGTTATGCATAGACATCACTTACCTGCATTGTTACCCATGGGACCGGAGGCTTCTGCCAGGGCTGCCAGTGTTGCCAGGACTGAGGTGGTAGAGACAGATTCTCCTGGAATAATAAAACAATGCAAAACCTCAATCTCAATCAAGTCATCCCATTTAGAATTGTCTTGGGTGAGGTCAGGTGTTACTAAGGTTCCCCATTTATATCAATTATAAATGTCTACTTAATTTGTACCTAACTTACTGTAACCTGTGCTCCAGTTGCCCATACCTGACTTGGCGGTGGTGTTGACGAGGTCAGAGAGGTTCACGACTCCAGCAGAGGAGATGATGAACTGGGGCTCTGGGTTCATGTTCACTTGGTTCTGCATGCCATCCTGTGTACATACACAAAACACAAGAACACAGATACAGTTCCTCCCACATAATGGGCAACAGTTTAATCTTCAGGGCCTCAACACGTATTACATATACCAGTGATAAGAACACATACTTGCATGTGTTTAGATTTTTCTTATTATTTGTGTTCACTTCCCTTGCGTGTTCTTAGACAGACATAAGGGCATTTTTGTGAAAACAAATGAACATCAGAGACATATAAATACAAAACACACACAGTCCCTTCACCTGTAACAGTATCATGAGCTCAGTGTTGCTGGTGTCCATGGCGATGTCAAAGGGCGTCTTGTCAAACTTGCTGAGGGAGTGGACGTCTGCTCCATATTTGAGCAGCAGTTCTGCCACCTCTCTGTGACCGTGCTGGGCCGCCCAGTGCAGGGCTGTCATCTTCAGCATGTCCTTAGCATTGATGTCTGCTCCGCTCTGCCAGGAAGCACAGCACGCCCCCCAGTGGTGGAAAAGAGACAGGAAAGTGAGACGGGTAGCCTAGATTCCAAAGTGTGGGTGGTGGACATTCAACATGGCACATAAAATAACATTTGTTTTTCAGTCACTTTACTAAAACTAAAACTATTATGTTTTTCATATAAACAGCTGAATACTGTCAGCTTTACATTTGGTTGCCCTTACACTGACTAGCAGCTCCACTATATTGGAGTGGCCCTCTGTGGCCGCCATGTGGAGTGGGGTCCTGTCCACTTTGGTCCGGGCATCCCTGCTAACGCCTGCTCGGAGAAGCACCTCAGCCGTGGAGTGGTGTCCGTACTGAGCCGCTAGATGGAGCGGGGACGTCCCTAGCTAGAACACACAGTTTGATTTATGAGGACCCAGTCCCTACAACACTGTGTCTGGATTGTGTGAAAGAAGCCAGCCCTGCAACATAGGTAGATTTGTGATGTACCGCAAGAGATCTGAGGAACAATATCTCTGTGTTAGGCTACATGAGGTGTGAGAGTGTGTAATCAGAAATTGTGTAGATGTGAGTATCCCTACAGGGAGACCCTTACCCAGTCAGTGGTGAAGGGAGCGCCATTGACCATGAGGGTCCTGACATCATCATCCAGCCCTGCCCGCGCAGCCTCCAGCAGCCGCTTCCCAAGGTCCACCAGTGACATCTACTGGGAGACAGAAAGAGTGCTTTTGAGTAAGTGTCAAAACAATAAGACAAACCCCCTGAGTGAATACAAGCCAGGCACTGCTAAAAAGTCTCTAGAGAAAAGTTTTCGTTGCCAAAATAGCATTGTTTATGCTCTACGAAACATGTTGCCTCATTGGTGTAATGTTCATGGTTGTATTGAAGGAAAAGTTGCAGTACTAGGAAATATTCAGTTTGTGTGAATTTGAAACAATCGTAGTCAGAACCCATGTGAAATTGTGGCAGCAATAAGAACCTACTTGGCAAAAGTGAAATGATGTATTTTGCTCAAATACAGTGTCAAGTCACAGGCTAGCTGAAGAAGCACAGTTCAATTAGCTGGGCTTGAACTTTTCTCGTTAGCTAGTAACACATCTAAAAATGTAACAATCAACAATATAAGCTTTGATAATACTTGGTTGGTGTTATGTTCCGGTGGAAGTCGAATATGAAACTCTACGGATGCCAAAGAAGTGGGCACCAAATCTGGCTACTTCCACATCCGCACTGTTATTGCTAGCTAGCTAGTTACTAGTAATAGCATTCAGAACTGAAGATGGCTTCGGCTTTGATTTTCACAATACTTAAAAAAGAGCATATCCCCGACACATAATCAATAACATCTTAATAGTATTTCGCGTTGGCGTTTGGGGTATTTAGCTAAATTTCAAGATAGCTAGCTAGATAGACGGCTAACAATGTCAATTACTTAGTTTTACAAGTAGCTAGCTGGTTAGCTTAACGTTATGGCTAGCTAAGTTAGCATAGCTTTGACACGGTTTGTTGATAGTTAGCTACAGCTAACTATGGATTAGGTTTTCAAGTGTTGCTTACCTTAGCTAGTCGTTAGCTAAAAGTGCAACTCTTCTAATTTCTGACGCCGAATATGTGTTTAGAACACTTTCGTAACTTTGCTAGACAGCTAAACAAATATCATAATATTTATATTTTTTGCAGAATCAAATATGGCGGCTAGGCACACCGGAAGTGGAAATAGTATGTAGTGTGCAGCAATAATGTTCCAGAAATGTTTCCACGCTCAAACATTATAAGATACATTAGTATCACTTTACATAAAATATACTATTCTGTAATCTAGTTATTGCCTTACCAAAGATATTGAATATAGCTAGATATTGTTTCAAATGTAAACCTCTTTGGTGAAACGAGTCTGATCTAATATAGTGAACTACATTTCCCATAAACATTTGCGCACTGGAACATTCCTTCTGGCGTCACGTCCCTTAGCAGCCATCGTTTCCTGTTGAAGTGTAAAGGAGACATGACACAGTTGTTTGGGGATTTTTAAGAAACAATATAGCTAGAAATCCACTGAATTCAAAACTGCTGAAGTGATATTTAAAGAGAAGTCACTCTAACTCAAGCTCGGTGCAATCGCTGGCCGCGATGGAGGCGGTCCCCCGTATGCCAATGATCTGGCTGGATCTGAAAGAGGCAGGGGAGTTCCAGTTCAGCCCTTCGGTGAGGCAGGTGAGACGGGTGGGGAGTGGAGCAACAGAGCACCCCAAGGCGGCTGATATCGGAAGTAAACCAAACAAGGATTACGGAATATAATCATAACCATCCAGCATGCGTAGACAGTTATTAGCCTGACGCATCAAGTAAAGATAGTTAGCTGTGTCAGCCATGACAATCGCCTTTGTTTACAGTTACGTTAGCTAGCTAAGTTGATAATGACCTATTTATGTCAACATGTAGCTAATGTGTCAGATACCCCTGTCACAACAAATAAATAAGATAGCTAACGAACTAGCTGTCTTGGTTGCTGTGCAGGCCTGAGAGTGTAGCTAGTTAGTCTTTCAAAGAATGATGACGTCATTATCACATACGCCCTGGACCAGTTTGCTTTGAGGTAGAGGCAATTATGTCAGGTTGAAATCCTGTATGTTCACTCCCCTGTCATTAAGGGGGGGGGGAACATGGTGAAAAATAACCAAGACATTCTGAAATTAGTGCTTGAATGAGTTAAAATGAGAGAACAGCTTAGACCCAGATATATTTTCTAGCAACGTTTGTCAATGACATTCAATTAAGGTTATGATTTTTATTATAGCAGTTACAGATTATTGTTATCTGGAAAGGAAATATAGGATAAAAACAGTAAATGGAAAAAGAATGGAGAGAAGACGAAATAGAGCTGAGAGAGAATAATAGAGTTTCATTGTTTAGGCTAGCAGTGCAGCTGGAGTTTGGTAACAGGACAATTTCTGTCCTGGTGAAGCACAATACATATAGACAGCTGTGTGTGATTTATTAGGCTAAGGCTGGCATAAATATATCATGTTGGAAACATTTGTGTGTGTGTGGCTTGTAATAAGGACAAATAATGGTTTTGTTTACCTCCAGACTGTGGCTCCAGTGAGTCTGTGGCTCCAGTGAGTCTGACTATAAGTAGCTGCTTATTAGAGAGGCTCTTCACTGACCAGAGTAGACATACCACAGTAGGGAATGATGGGATAGCTCCAGAGCCATTAGGAGACCAACTCCTCCCAGTCCATAGACAACCATGACAAGAGAATATTGATAAGATAGGGATTCAATGTTAAAACAGATTGATCATGTATTTGTCATCCAGGTTAAAATTTTGCAGATTACATGTGATACAGTATTGATGCAGATATATAAAGAAAGATGAACTTCATAGTCAAAACTGTCGTGAAAGTTTTTATTGGAACCATTTAATGTTTATTGACAAACAACGATGAAAGGAAAGGGTCATTTAGATAAATATTGTTAGGTGTGATTAAGGGCATTCATCTATAAAATGTGATTTAGTTGCTACAGTACATTTACATTTACATTTTAGTCATTTAGCAGACGCTCTTATCCAGAGCGACTTACAGGAGCAATTAGGGTTAAGTGCCTTGCTCAAGGGCACATTTACGTCATTTAGCAGACGCTCTTATCCAGAGCGACTTACAAATTGGTGCATTCACCCTATAGCCAGTGGGATAACCACTTTACAATTTTTTTTTTTTATATATATATATTTTTTTTTGGGGGGGGGGGGGGGGGTAGAAGGATTACTTTATCCTATCCCAGGTATTCCTTAAAGAGGTGGGGTTTCAAATGTCTCCGGAAGGTGGTGAGTGACTCCGCTGTCCTGGCGTCGTGAGGGAGCTTGTTCCACCATTGGGGTGCCAGAGCAGCGAACAGTTTTGACTGGGCTGAGCGGGAACTGTGCTTCCGCAGAGAAAGGGGAGCCAGCAGGCCAGAGGTGGATGAACGCAATGCCCTCGTTTGGGTGTAGGGACTGATCAGAGCCTGAAGGTACGGAGGTGCCGTTCCCCTCACTGCTCCATAGGCAAGCACCATGGTCTTGTAACGGATGCGAGCTTCAACTGGAAGCCAGTGGAGTGTGCGGAGGAGGGGGGTGACGTGAGAGAACTTGGGAAGGTTGAACACCAGACGGGCTGCGGCATTCTGGATGAGTTGTAGGGGTTTAATGGCACAGGCAGGGAGCCCAGCCAACAGCGAGTTGCAGTAATCCAGACGGGAGATGACAAGTGCCTGGATTAGGACCTGTGCCGCTTCCTGTGTAAGGCAGGGTCGTACTCTCCGAATGTTGTAGAGCATGAACCTGCAGGATCGGGTCACCGCCTTGATGTTAGCGGAGAACGACAGGGTGTTGTCCAGGGTCACGCCAAGGCTCTTCGCACTCTGGGAGGAGGACACAACGGAGTTGTCAACCGTGATGGCGAGATCATGGAACGGGCAGTCCTTCCCCGGGAGGAAGAGCAGCTCCGTCTTGCCAGGGTTCAGCTTGAGGTGGTGATCCATCATCCATACTGATATGTCTGCCAGACATGCAGAGATGCGATTCGCCACCTGGTTATCAGAAGGGGGAAAGGAGAAGATTAGTTGTCTATCGTCAGCGTAGCAATGATAGGAGAGGCCATGTGAGGATATGACAGAGCCAAGTGACTTGGTGTATAGGGAGAAAAGGAGAGGGCCTAGAACTGAGCCCTGGGGGACACCAGTGGTGAGAGCACGTGGTGCGGAGACAGCTTCTCGCCACGCCACTTGGTAGGAGCGACCGGTCAGGTAGGACGCAATCCAGGAGTGAGCCGCGCCGGAGATGCCCAGCTCGGAGAGGGTGGAGAGGAGGATCTGATGGTTCACAGTATCAAAGGCAGCAGACAGGTCTAGAAGGACAAGAGCAGAGGAGAGAGAGTTAGCTTTAGCAGTGCGGAGAGCCTCCGTGACACAGAGAAGAGCAGTCTCAGTTGAATGACCAGTCCTGAAACCTGACTGGTTTGGATCAAGAAGGTCATTCTGAGAGAGATAGCAAGAGAGTTGGCTAAAGACGGCACGCTCAATAGTTTTGGAAAGAAAAGAAAGAAGGGATACTGGTCTGTAGTTGTTGACATCAGTGGGATCGAGTGTTGGTTTTTTGAGAAGGGGTGCAACTCTCGCTCTCTTGAAGACGGAAGGGACATAGCCAGCGGTCAAGGATGAGTTGATCAGCGAGGTGAGGTAGGGGAGAAGGTCACCGGAGATGGTCTGGAGAAGAGAGGAGGGGATGGGGTCAAGCGGGCAGGTTGTTGGGCGGCCTGCAGTCACTAGTCGCAATATTTTATCTGGAGAGAGAGGGGAGAAAGAAGTCAAAGCATAGGGTAGGGCAGTGTGAGCAGGACCAGCAGTGTCATTAGACTTAACAAACGAGGATCGGATGTCGTCAACCTTCTTTTCAAAGTGGTTGACGAAGTCATCCACAGAGAGGGAGGAGGGGGGGAGGGGGGGGGGGGAGGATTCAGCAGTGAGGAGAATGTGGCAAAGAGCTTCCTAGGGTTAGAGGCAGATGCTTGGAATTTAGAGTGGTAGAAAGTGGCCTTAGCAGCAGAAACAGATGAAGAAAATGTAGAGAGGAGGGAGTGAAAAGATGCCAGGTCGGCAGGGAGTTTAGTTTTCTTCCATTTCCGCTCAGCTGCCCGGAGCTCTGTTCTGTGAGCTCGCAAT